TTTGCAGAGGATTGTAACGGTAGCCTATCAGAGAATAGGTTTAAAATTGAATCTCTAGCCAAAATATTTTCCTGGTGCTTAGGTTAACTTCAGATATTTACCGATTTCCCATCTGTCCAGTTGAGTCTGACCAGGAGCTTAGGGTAATAGAATGCTACTTACCTTCTTGTCAAACATAACTAACAGTTTGTAAAGCAGTGTTAGAACCGACCATTGACTGAAATCAACCAAATGCATTTTACTTCGCTTAATATCCTCTTAAGCTTTATTGTTTTTGACATGAATTAGCTGCGTGAACATCGATTTTGAAAACGAACACAAAAAGAATAAAGACCTCTATTGCAAGGTTGGTTAATTTCAGAGACGCCAGGATAGCATTGTAGGCTATTCCCACCATTTTGGATTTTTGAATTTTGAAAGATTTTTTCCGAAAAAAGTCGACTTCTCCGTCGGAAAATACCTCCTGGTGCCAAGTTTCACAAAATTCGATCGAACAAGAGCCGCATACCGCAGGATCAGTAGGACTCTACGCAGCGGTAAACGGTACCAGTACGGGCCATACGGCAGTTCGCCTTCAATTTCGTCCGATACTGTGCAACACTTCTGTGGCGAAATAATTGCTCAAAGCGCCTTAAACGGTATCCCTTCAACTTTGTGGAGGGAGATGACGATTACCGCTGAAATTACACCCTAGTTCGTTCGCAGTTACTTATTTCCTCATCGGTGAGGTAAAAAAAAAAAAAACAAAAAAAACAAAAAAAACATTTACGTAAAACTCAATTTGCGAGGTTGCAAGTTTTTCACTGTAAATGTTTTTCGGGTAAACCAATGTAAACACTTTAATATCTGCCGTGATTTTTTTGAGATATTATTTGATATTTCCTTCAAATATATTTCTGTGCTTTCGTTAAAAGGGGAATTAGAAGCATTAGATTCACATTCTTTGAAGTGTAATTATAAGAAACCCTAGAAATAGACTTGAATGAGATATGAAAATAATATCTATCATCTTATCTCGGAGAAATCACGGCAGGCATTAAAAATTTTACATTGGTTTACTCGAAAAACATATACAGTGGAAAACTTGCAACCTCACAAATTGAGGTCTAAATGTTTTTTTTTTTTTTTTTTTTTTTTTTTTTTTTTTTTTTTTTAAACTTACCGTCTGTTTCGAGGAGACGAGTACCTGCAATCGCGCTAGGGTGAAATTTCAGCGATAATCGTCATCTTTCGCCATAAAATTGAAGCGATATACCTTTGAAGGCGATCAATGGGCATCTATTTCGCCACAGAAGTGTTGCGCAGTATCGGACGAAATCGAAGGCGTTCGGCCGTATGTAAATTGACTGGTACCGTTTACCACAGTATAGGGTCCTAGGTCCTACTGATCCTACGGTATGCGGCTTCTGTTCGATCGATTTTGAAACTCTCGCAATTCTAAATAATCCCAACTCTCACATTTTAAAATGAATTTCCTTAATGTTTATCAGAAGCAAAATGCGACTTAATATAGTTATTATGGAAACAGTTATTGGCTCCAAGCTCTTTGATACTCTTTTAACGAATGGGACGCAATTTTAGAGAAATTTTTCCACATTTTCTGAGTAGGTATTGAATTGGCCTGAAATGATTCGCAACAATAAAGCATTTTTCACAATTTCTTATATTTTACAAGGCAAAGTGGCGAGGCGTGAAGATCAACTATCGACATTTCTCCAATTAAAGCTGTAGTAAAGAATCGATCATGAGGGTATTCGTTACGATCGTTTATCGATCCTTTTTCTTAGGTTCAAAGGGCGAATCAATCGATACACGCAAAGCACGCCACGCCACTGAAAAAAATGTGATCAGCCGCAATGTAAACAGCCGAACGAATGAATTACGTCATTAGCATTGTTCACGCAGTTGTTCTTTCAATGGGACGAATAAAAGAAAAAAACTCATTATATTGTTCCGTAGACCGTTTAGTGCAAAGAGAAATAACAGTCAAACATAACAACTCACATACAATTTGAGAATGTCGTCAACTTTTTCATAGATCTCTTTTATACAAAATTGGCACACTCAATGTTAGAAATATGATACACATAATTTCGTGACCTTTATAAAGTAACTTAACTATAACATGTATTGAAAAAAAAAAAATGTATTCGTAGGTCGCTCTACGCTCTCAATTCACGGAGGGTGAAAGGTGGATGTTTGAGGTTGAAATTGTTGTTTCCTTTCCATCAGTAACGTCATTTTATTTGACTGAAGCCATCGTTTCACTCACTTTAAGCAACGACGCATCATTATCCACGTGACTATTCAATTTAAAAGGAGAAACATTTATTCTATGCAAGTTTGCATGTAGATTCTGTGGATATCCACCTAAAAAATGGAAAAATGTTATCAAGAAACATAATTTCAAATTTGGCGAAATAGTTTCGATCTTCAATTCAAGGAGAAATTGTTTGACTTGAAATTGTGAGGCAGCATGTGAAATAAGGGCAAAAGCAGATTTCTGAAGCATGATTTGCAATTTTGAAAGCGTATAGAACCATAGAAAGCTCCGTGTCTCTTTACTCTCTACATTTGGTTCTTGGGCTCTATTAATTTTTCTGATAAGGGTGTTAGTGTTGCAAAAATTTTGATACAATTCACTAAATTTGTGTTTTTAATTCCACGAACAAAATGTAATTACCAGATAAATCTACGACAATGTAACTTAAAGGACACATTCAAAATTTCTGCCCTTGTTTACTTTTATAATAAGCAGTAATCAATATTTTCCATAAAACATTTTAAAACATTTGAAGATAGCTGAAAAAAACTCGTGGAAAATTTCGCGATTCAAACACATTTAGTTTTTCTATATCCGTATTAAACGTGGCAGACTGTTTGTTACGTCACAGATCGAGATACAGGCTTTTCTGTTACGTACAATTGAAATGTTTTACACGATAAGTCTGTCATGACTACACGAAGTCAGTTCGATTTACACTCAATCAGGGTCTTACTTCAACTTTATAAATGAAAAATCATTCAAAATTATCAACAGCGACTCGGTCTAGTATACATGAGGGAATCGAGTTGAACTCAAACACAAGTTTCCCATTATTCAACGGTAAGAATTGATGAGGGCCTAAGAAACACGCATCTCTTGATAAACTCAAATTTTTCCCGGTCTTACAAAGTGCTTAGTATTTAACTAGGGGTTCCTTTAATTTCCAACTATTTCCCTTATTATGCTTATCTGTAACCTTAATTTCATCCAGTATGACCTTTATCATGACGATTATGCTTAGTCAATTTACCCATGGCTAGAGCAACGAGGAACACGTACGAAATTTCATAATTTAACACTTTATACCCTGTAAATAATTTCTAAGAAAATAATATGTACAGTAAAATTTTCTTTTGATAAAAATATTTTATTTACAGAAATAAATAAGCAGTCGAGGAAGTATTGAAGATAAGAAACACGACGAGCCTAGAGACGATCAACACTGATGGTAATCGCTGGAGGAAAATTAAAAATGAGGAAGTATTTGATAATGCTCAGGGACTTTTCCTTTAGGGGAAACCATTCAAAGCTATGTGCGTCTAGCTAGGGACATAAACCGCGTGATGAGACACGCAAGTCCTAAAAAAACAGTTCCGTTTAGCATAATCAGGTTTAATTAAGCAGTTTATTTGGAGAAGAATGTAATCACTAAAGGTCAAGATTCGAGAAAACAAGAAAAAACCTGAAATCATCGACAATTCTTCATAATTCTGTTCGAAAAAATCAATTAATGTTCTACAAACCATCTGTAATAAGACCATGGTCAAACAAGGAGGGACGAAAAATTGAGCAAGGAATTAAAAAGTCAATATTTTGGTAGTCAGATGTGCCCTTCTCCAACGATACTACTCAGAACTGTCATTTTTAGCAGTATTTTGAAAGTCAAATAGCTTGCGTGCTTAATGATAATATTGAAATTATAATCTGTGCCTTTATTCACAGTTTTTATCATCATCAAGCACTCTTCAGTGGGAGAGGTGGCTTGGAAATTACAACCTTTTTTCACTAAAGAAAATATTCAAATGTTGTCATATGGCGTTTGTAGAGCAATGTCGGCAAGAATTGTGGAGTTGTAAGACGCTTCGACCCTCAAAGAATAGTATTTTTTACCCTCGACAAAAACTCAATTTCTGAAGATTTGGCTGTTACGCTCCCATTCAAATAACCCGTTCAATTGGACTTATTTCTGCCAAACGGAACTATGTGCATTGTGACGTGAGCTCTGTTGTGCATATATTCTTATGGGTCCCAAAGCTTAATGCATATAGTTCCGTTTGGCAGAATTACGTCCAATTTAGAATCAGTGGAAATCGGATACAACTACTTTCTATAGGGACCGCCGCTTTATTTGGTCGTTGTAGCCGATTGTCGTTATAACCGTTGCAAAAATACATTAAATCAAGGTGATTTCAGTCACTAGTCGCGGGGGACCGACCCGAGATCACGTCGTTTATGACCAATACTGCCGTGCTAGGAAAGAACGCCACATGTGCCTTTAGCCGTTGCCACATTGCCTTCGATAAAAAACGAAGTTACAAGGAAAATTTTAAATATTTTTCTTTAAACGTTCCGGACTATTTTCCTCGCAATTTGATCTAAGATATCTGAAAGGTTCAAGGAAAAACAGGAATAACTTTCCTCAAAAATAAACGTTTTATACGAGGAAATTTGGCAACTCTCGAATTTTCATTGAGCGTTTTTCTTTACCACGGCAGTATATGCCGTCGATGTCGTAATATCCGATTCCCACTGTATTTGGTTTGAGAATTTCATCATCATTAAGCTCACTGGAAAAAAAAAAAACACATCGGATCTAGAGCCCAGACTCTTAAAAACATCGACAAGAAAAAGAACTCTTGATTCAATCAGAATCTAGCTTAAATCAAGAACCAAGCCTCTTAATTTGAGCGGATTTCCTTTTGATTTAAGCTTAAATCTGATTGAATCAAGAGTATTTTTTTTGTCAATGTTTTCAAGAGCCTGGACTCTAGATCCAATGTGTTTTTTTTCCCAGTGCTGAATTTTAAGTTTTTCGGTGGAAGTAGGATTTTCGTTCAGTTTCTTATCTCCAGTACTATGATAACAGAAAAGAAGAAGGAAAATGTATTTAAAAGAAGACTGTATATAATTATAGTATAGTCTCGTTGGTGCAGGTCCTGGGCCCGTTGACGAGGGAGTAGCGGGAGCTGCCGCCGGCGCCGTTCCTGCGGGTCACCTGGACTGCGCCGCGGATGAAGAGTTCCTTGAAGGTCTCGCGGAACTGTCGCGACATCCCGCAGTAGATGGCGAAGTTGATCGGGTAGCTCACGATGATGAAGAAGTTCGTGAACAGCACCAGCACGTTCGCCACCGTGTAGTCCAGGATCTCCGTTATGCTGCTCGAGATTATGTGCAGGATCTGTCCAACACACATACATCCAGATTATTTACTTATTCACGCTTCGCCGTCACCCAGTGAATTGCTGGACATTGACTAAATGGATCTAGTTCAGTGCCGGATTTAGGAAGGGAAGTAGCGATCGGAGTTCATGGATTCGATCGCCATGAATCCATCGAAAAATAAAAACTTGAATCGATTGATGTGAGTAAATCGATACCGATTCGATTGACGATTAATTTAAGAAAACCCACTGTAGATTCGATCGACATGAATTGACCGATGAACAAAGCCGAGCAATTCGACCGACCGTCGAATAGGAGCCAATTTGATTTGTGTTTGAAATGAATCTTATTGCTTCTCATCCCTCTTTCTTAAGTTTAGTATGTTGATAAAATAGTGCAGAGACCTGCATTCCTGCATGTGAACTACAAAAACCTATATTAGTGCAAAGCAATAAAGGTATTTGCAAAAAAAAAAAAAAAAAAAAAAAAAAAAAAAAAATGGCTCAGGGGGATTTTCTTTTCAATGTTTGATAAATATTTATAACTTGTCTTAGAATTGTTCTCCTTTAATCATTTTTTATAGTTTGAAGCTTTAGGAAATATTGATATGCCGGTAACGTTTCAACGTATTCAATTCTGATACTGTAATCTTTAGATCTAATACAAACAAACAAACAAAACAAGCTTCAACATCACACATCACATAAATTCACAAAAATTGTATCGGTGAAAAATGGTGCAGGTTGCATATTCTTCAAATTCAAGGGTATTTTTGGAACTTAAAAATATCAAAATTAAGGCTTCAAATATTATCTGGACAGAATAAACTTATGTAAGAGCGATAAAAAGCAATGAACATATGCATTTCAAGAACAAATCAAATTGGCCCCTAATCAACGTTCTCATTACGAAAAACCATTTGACAGATTAGGGTTGATCAATAATGATGACACGCTGTAATTTTGAATCCAAAATAAAAGTCATCAAATGATGTTGAACAGTAGCATTTAAACAGACTGTTACCGTATAAGTGAAGTATTCTCTCAATTAGACCCGAGGAAATCGTTGAACAATTTAAGGATTCGGTTGTAATAATTCAAGGGCACAAATAACCATCCAGCACGTTATTCCTAGATAAGAGTGTGAAATACTGTCGGAAAGCCAAGAGTAAATCCACAATGCTCTTTTCAGTTCAAATATCTTCTATCGGTACTTAAAGAGATTAAAATCATCCCCTTTTTTCATGACCCTTTTTTTCTCGACTATTCCCCTCCTATATCCTTCTCTGTCCTCTTCCGACCCTTCGGCATGCATTTCCTGTTTTTGGTGTCTCCATTATATCTATTGCAATCCGCATTGTTGTCGAATCTCATGTGCAAGAGGAAAAATCGTTAAAGGACCACAAGACTGATAGGAACGACCATTTCTTTTAGCAAGAAGTCAAAAATGAAATGAGTGCTATGCCACAAAAAACGGTGCTGTATGCACAAAAATACTAGTGAAAAGTGTCAAAAATAACTGGAAAAGCAACTGAATTAAAAATTGATTGGATGAATGTGACCGTAATATAACTTCATTCGTACAGAGACGCTCACTGGAAAAAAACACACATTGGATCTAGAGTCCAGACCCTTGAAAATATTGACAAGAAAAAATACTCTTGATTCAATCAAATTTTTGCTTAAATCAAAAGGAAATCCGCTCAAATTAAGAGGTTTGGTTCTTGATTTAAGCAAAACTCCGATTGAATCAAGAGTATTTTTTCTTGTCGATGTTTTTGAGTGTCTGGACTCTAGATCCAATGTGTTTTTTTTCCAGTGCTGCTCTGCAATGATTAAAATAAATAAAGAAGAAATCTGGCTTTGCTTTTTGCACAGTTGACCGCTTTAAGCATGCACATCAGCCAAGGAAGTTTTCAGAAAAAATGAGCATATAAAAACTAAGTTCAGAGTATTGCTAATTCTCTTGAAAAGTCGTTAGATTTGTTAATTGAGGAAATGGATATTACACCCTAGAGAGACTGTTGTATGTGCAATATATTTTCATTTTTATTGGCTCATTCCTCGGATGCACAGACACCATATAGAACCAATACCAGTCTATTCAAGGAATTCTCCTCATTCTCCCAACGCTCTAAATACAGAGGCGGACTGGCTCCTCAAAGTGGTCCGGAAAATCGCCAACAGACAAGCCCATCATGGTGCGCGTTAGACCCCCCCCCCCATGATTTTTCGATATTACAGGCATAGGTGTGCCTAGGCAAAAAAATGTGACTTTTCAACGACTTGAGCGCGCACCGTGGTATACGCGCAATGTATGTAGTATCCGGCAGACTTGTAAGGCGCTACTATGTGTTCCGCGCCGGCCGCACTGTGTTTGACGCGATTACTCGAGCTTGCGGCGCGGCGTTGCTGGTTTTCAACTTACGATTTTGAAGTTTTTGAACAGTTTTTCGGAATTATTGTCAATTTAAATGATAAAACATTACATAGAACCCAACTTTATCTTTATTCTCTCCACTTGTATGATTATATTTCATTCGAGTCAATTAGGCGTCAATATTTGATTTGTTTTTGAAATGCACATGTTTATTGATTTTTATCCTTCATTCATGTAATTATTCTGTCCCAATGATAGTTGAAGCCTTAATTTGGTATGATTTTAACAAAAAAAGAGATTGTTTTCTGGTGAAAAAAGACTCTAGTATTTGAAAGTACTTGAGGCATTCCCACATTCATCCCACGGTACGTTTTAAACACTTTTAATGCGGTCAACTTCGATACATACCGAAGGGTTCGGGTCACACATCTGAAGTGCCTCGATACATGCCGAAGTACCTCGATGTCTGGCCCGAACTTCAGCAGCTCGACCTCAAGTTTTCGGATGCGTGATCAGAAAACTTCAGAGATCCATATGACCTCAACTTCAGGTCCCACACACGAAGTTTTTTTCTCCGTGTTCAAAGGGCGATATCTCGGTTAATATTGAAGTAGAATTGAAGTAATATTGAAGTTGCTATTTAGACAGATCTTATGCTTTTTAGCTAATCTACAAGAATCAAGGATGAAAACACGATTCTATAACTAGCGCAACTGAGCCATTGGATATAATAGAGAATCCCGGTATAGTGGCGTCACAAATTCTGGCCTCTGTTCGAGGATACTTACGGTGACAACGGCGAGAGGGATCTCGGTCATGAGGAAGACGGTGACGACGACGATGAGCATGAGGGTGGTGCAGTTGGAGTCGCGGAGTCGCTTGCACTCGGACTTGCGGTTCTCCTTGAAGAGTTTGTCCCGCTTGAGCTGGGCCTCCCGCATGGCCCGGAAGAGGAGCACGTTGAGCGCCACCAGGGAGATGCACGGCCCCATGTGCACGAAGATCACCCGGAACCCGTAGTACATCGTGTAGTACACGTCCAGGCTCACCGTGTCCCGCACCCACGCCGCGTCGTGCACCTGAAACCACAAACGTCCAATCTCATCAGATTTATTCACCCAAATTCCGATAAATGGACTATAAGTGAAAGCACGAGAACATAGCCCGAATATATGAATAAAGAAGGAGAGAATTAAAAAACGGGTAAACAAGGCTAAAACATTAAAAACACTAAAAGACAGGACATTGCGAGCTGTTACCAGCTCATTTTTAGCTGCAGAAAAACAAAGGAAACTAATAAAAAATTGAGTGGCGACCTGACTCCAGCCGTTGTCACGTAACCACTCAAACGTCCTGCCTTTCAGTATTTTTAATGTTTTAGCCTCGTTTACCCATGTTTTAATTCTCTCTTTCTTTGACTATAAGACATGTTATAATTGGACTATAATACATACTAGCAATGGGACTTCACAATGGGCCACTAAATCGTCTCCTTCTACGTCGTATGTTCGATGACGATTTTAAAAGTCATACCGTGGCAAAGGAATATTGGATAGATGGATCTCTCTTCACCGGGCAACTGGGCTGTGGGCGCCTCATGTGTTCCAAAAGGAGCAAAACCGGTGCGTGGTGGTCTGTCAGTGGCCAGAGAGCTTAAAAATATAGTGGCAAGGCGGGAATAATCGATTATCGATAATTTCCTACTTGAGGCTATATATAGTGAAGAATCGATTATTAGGGTGTTCGTTGCGAATAGCCTGCTTATCGATCATTTCCCATAGGTTTAAACGGCAGATCAATCGATATATCGCAAAGCACGCCACGCCACTGTAAAAAAAGGATAGGTGAGGATGGAGAAAATTTAGAAAGAAACGGATAGAAAACAATAAGGTCATATTAAAAAAAAGATTTAAAGTGGTAAGGAAAATAACTAAATAGATAATGCCAGAATAATTGCGCCACGTAGCTTTTTACCCACCCTTCATATTCATCCCCTGAGTAATTTACATACAAAAACCATTAGTGAAGCTTGAGTCAATACTAAATATCTGTTTCAGGTGAAACGAGAGCACTCGTTGGACAGCGCCTTTTTTCAAGCGGGGGAATTTCGCGATAATTTCGCGTCATCGCGGAAAATAGCACGCAAACATTCATGACCTCTCGATCCGGGGGAGGAGGCGAAAGCTTTTATTATGCAAGCGGGGGAGGGAAAAAATAACTGCGCACTTAATTGTGTAGGGCGCTGAGTAAATTCAAAACGCAGAGGAGAGCGCAAAATATTCAATGAGACGGAAAAACAAAGCGCGGGAGGGGGGATGGAAGGAGGGTCGCCATAACGGCGAGGAGGTGACGTAAAATTAGACGATTATCTATATTGAAAGACCCCTAACACGCGTATCTACGCACATACTCAAACACATACAGTTATTTCGAGGTTGCCTCGTTGGATAAGAAAAATGTAATGCCAAATCAGCGTTTCTTATATGTATACATAAAGAACGGAACTTTTAGTGTCATAATTAACAGTAAAAAAAAATCACACTTATCTTAGCACCGATAGAGGGCGTTAGCCTGAAATATAATCCGCCAATTTTATCCCCTACGCATGGTAGATAAGCGTTTTAAATATAGATTCTTCTAAAAACTACATTCAGGGTGTCTACTGAGACAGGCTGGCCAAAATCAGTGCTTTTACAGTACTTTTTCAGTACATTCCCAAAAAATTCAGTACCTCCTCAAAGAAAATTTCAGTACCTCCTCAAGGATAAATTCAGTACTATTTCAATACCTTCATCTGATGAAATTCGAGAAATTTCGAAAACTTGAATTTCCCGCTCAAATTACGACAAAAATGAAAAAATTCCGGACTTCCTTGCAAAATTTCTGCACTTTTTCAGTACTTCCGGACCGCCCTGGAAAAATCAGTACTATTTACGGACTTTTCGGAAATTCCGGACTCGTAAACACCTTGGCGTTCTTTCACCCGGAAACTTCAGAGCGTAACAAAAACTCTATTTCTTCGGAAATTTACTTGGCGTTTTTTGTCCATGCTTGTCGGTGAAACCGGCTCTAAAACGGCCAAAAATCTACGATGAACGGAACCAACCCCATTTGGTGCAACAAGCGCGCGAACCGCGGCTAAATCAACAGGTACTCACTAACGATGGGCCGATGGATAATTTTCCGATTTTCGTAACGATCTGACGTAGACGTGTTGTGTGGCATGGCGAGTTGATTGCTTTTTTATGAACTGTGCGATGGAAACGTGTGCAAGGGCGGGCGGGGAGACAGGGGTGGAAATGGGAGGGGGAGAGGAGGGGGTGTGAGTATTTGCTTAACGCGTGAGTTACAGTCACACGAGCTTGTAATCGAGTTGTCGGGATTGCTTCGGCTAATGGGAAATGACGAGTGCGCTCACGGTGGGTAATCTTTCCGCGTGATAAAAATACCTGACCCACAAACCCCTGCCCCTGCCCGCTTATTAACAATCTATTGATTGCTCCGGCAAGTAGGTGAGTTGGGTGCCTTCTCAAGTCCATCCTTCGGCGAGTAGAGCAGAGTGACCTGAACAGTATGGTCATCGGAGACAAGAGACCCTCCACTGGCCTCTTGTCGACAGGTGGAAGCTTTTACTTTCGGGGATTCAACAATTTCTTATGGACAATTATAAGGGAGCAACAATCATCCTTCTTATTTTGGCAGTAATGGCTTGGTTGCACGCTCAAATTTCCATCAAATGGAGAATTTGCACGCAATTTTTTTATTGCTTCATCTGAAAGTGCCTAATGAGCTGAGTTCGCAGTATTTTTCATAATTTTTTTCTGACATGGGAAATTGGAGAAAAATTGATTTAAAAGTGAGAAAATGTGCCGCCTTGTGACGTCATCTGGCGGCATTTCCCATTTAAACACATGTATTTTAGCAGAATCGGTTATTTTGTCATATCTCCTCTAATAATTGCTCAATTTATGAATCAAGGGTATCTTCGTGTTTAGTTCACTCAGAGGATTCCACTTAAACAGGAAATTCATCAAATTTCAGACCCTTGCAAATTCTCCATTCCGATCAAAATGATGACCAAGATGGCGGTCAAAAGTTATCTAGATTGACGAGTAAAATTAATTAAAACAGCGTGTTGATTGAAATAAGCATGAAATGAGCACGGTTGTGTGGAAATCAGATGAAGGATGAGCCCCACAGTTCCATCATCTACCATCAAATTTTTGCAGGCCGCAGAAATTTGATGGTAGATGGTGCGCACCAGTCACCGTTTTATCGGAAATTGATGGGAATTTGAGCGTGTAACCAGCACATTTACCGACCTACATGGTGGATGATGAGCTTCGGGTGACGTCATGAGCAAAACAAGTTTCCAAAACATCGGCTTGTTTGCAATAGAGTCCCTTTATACTGAGAGTTGCCTGATGGTTCATACGGCGTTCTTCCTTGGCACGGCAGTATAGTAGCTGTACTGAACTTTCATAACGCCAGGAATTTTTCACGACAAAGCTTGACAAGAAAGTATAAGACTTGTTGCATGGTTTTCGAGCTCCTGCCCTGAAGGTTGCTGCTTTTAAGCTAATGTGTCTTCGATTTTGAACCATCGTGCGATGTTATGTCGGCCGAAAGTGGGTGTTGTACTGAGCGATTGAGCGCCTTTCATCGATTTTGTGCTCAAACAATGCAGTACACTTACGCTTTGACTCGCCTGAATTATAGATTACGAGTCTGGACTGATAGGGTTCAAGGCACTACTTCCATTCGCCCACTTGACGGACGTCCGAAAATTTTATCTATTCGGTCTTAATGTTGCGTAGCTTGGATGCGACTCAGAACAGCCGAGAGCAACCCGGGTTGCGATAATCGCTTGCCGACCGCTGAAATGCATTTGATATAAATTAATTATCAAAAGAAATCGATAAACTTTTCCACTACACTCTGCCGTCATAGGGTCAAATTTTTGAAATCGAGTTTCCTTCAAAATTCATCTAAACTCTTTTAGATGAAATCACTGAAATGGCTAAAACAGCGAAACTCATCTTATTTCAATCAAAACGAGACATATGAGAACGAAGTAAGTGCGCAAAAAAGACGTAGTTCTCGGCAAAACAGCATTAAGTGACAATATTTCTTCCTACAGAGAGCCAATGAAAACAGTGCTTTCACCGTCTTCTGCGAATTTCTAACTTGAAAATGTGTTTGTTGTGTGTCCAAAACGTAACCAAGAAAGCATGCAGAAGATAGCACTTACGGCTGTCTTGCCTAACAATAACTTAGCATGAAAATGAAAAAATACCCTTTTTATGAAATGGAAATAAAATCAGTCGATTTTTGATTATCCGAACGATTTCTAGGAATCTTTCGGACAATAAGTGGCAATTTGACAAAGAAAGGAGGCTTCTTTCAATGAAATTTTCGGGTCGGAAGCTTCTGAGCCCGTTTTCTCAAAACTTCTTTTTGCACATACGGTGCTCTTCGCTATCACGGCAGTATTGTCGTGTTACCAAAGTAATGTAACGCTTCTTTTTTTAAATCGAGTTCCCTTCAAAATTTGTCCGATCTAATTCCAATGAACTGACTGTTAAACCTAAAACAGCAAAATTCGCCTCATTTATATAAAAGCGGGAATTTGCAGTAGGCAGTAGGTGCGCAAAAATTGACGTTGTTACAGGCAAAACAGAAGCAAATTCAAGTTATTTTGCAAGAGAGCTGCACTTACTTCTGTCTCAAGCAAAATTGTGCCCTTTTCTGTCGATTTCTAGCCTTAAAATCTGTTAATCTTGAATCCAAAATGTAACCACACAAGCGTACAGAACATGGCGCTTGTAGCTGTTTTGCCTAGCGCGAACTTAAAATACCCTACCCCCTTCCCCTTTAAATATAGTGGCAACTACAATTTGTCAATTTCAAATCAGCCGAACAAGTTCCAAGTGCTTTATCGATGATCATAGAAGTTTCACGAAGAACATGGCACTTGGACTGTATTTCTCAATAAGCATATAGTATCCCTGGCTCATCCATAGAAACACCTATCTTTACAGGAAATGTAGAGGCACATACCTTGTTTCTACAATAAGCC